TGAAGAGGGAGCTATTGTTTTCTGCTCTCTCCCTTCCCCCCTCCCCCAGTGAACTTGAATCATACTTTTCTTTAGGAGCTCCAGTTTCTGGAGCTTCTATGAAAACACCCGTGAATTCAATATAATAGTACTGGTCCTAAAAATAAATGAATGAGATAAGCATAAGATAACCAACCCCCCCATCCTTCCACCTCCAGTATAGTTCATGGTCCTTTCTGTTTCTGTTTCATGGTCCTTTCTGACATCAGTGGAAGACACTCTCTCCACCCCCCACACCCCCTCCCCGCCCCAGCCCTGGCCCCTAGCAAGGAAGGGTGTCTAGCTCGCATCCAGCATCTCCTGTGTGCTTCACTTAGCAGCAGTTCATTAGTGATCCTCTGGGCCTCTCCAGTCTTCACTGACAGCACTCAATAGAGACATCACTTGGGACTGACAGTTCTCTCGGGGTCTGCAGGCATCAGTCAGAAGGGCATGGCGGATGATCCTTGGCGTGAATCTCTTAGGTCTGTCTGCCATGTGTGGCGAATGTGAAGCATATGACCATGACCTTCATGCATTCCCCCCCCCCCCCGCCCCCCCCAGAGGATTACCATTAGAAAACCTGCAGGCTTAGTAAGGAGCTGTTAAGAAGGTAACATGCCGTAGTTGGCTTGGAGGTTGTTAGTGGTAGAATGCAGGATCCTCTTTCCTGCGGAAATATGTACCCATGCCTGAAGTTCAATGATGGTCCATTGGAAGCTGTTGAGCTCATATAGTACTTGCACTTTTACATTACTGGGGCAAGGCAGTAATATGTGATCTGTGCTCCAAATATAGCTATCTTCCTCTTCCTGCTCTTCACCACAAAGTTAAAACAAAAATAGAAATCATGTTCTTACAACTCTTGTCTAAACACACATGTTAACTCAATGAAGTTGAGTTTATTCATGGTAATGCATGAATGAAGGAAAATTCTCAAACACTTGTGCAACAGAACAGAATTCCACCAACTAGAAATTCACAGTGTATTTCTCAGCAGGATAAACAATATTGGAGATGAAGAGAAAAAGGATTTAGAGCAAAATAGCCACTTATGGGGGTGGGAAGGTGGTCCCCTTTGCTTGGGAAATACTTTACATGCTGATTCCATAAGTGGACAGTTTATGCCTTTCATTTCAATTCTTTTTATTCTTTTTTTTCTTTTATTTCTTTTTTGTTGGTTGTGGGGCTTGAACGCTTGGGGCTATATGCTGAGCTCTTCAGCTCTAGGCTAGCGCTCTTATCACTTTGAGCCTCAGTGCCACTTCTGGTTTTCTGGTGGTTAATTGGAGATAAGAGTCTCACAGACTTTCCTGATTGGATGGGCTTTGAACTGCAATTGTCATGTCTCGGCCCTTCTGAGTAGCTAGGATTACAGGCATAAGCTACCAGTGCCCAGCTATGTTTATTTCTTCTCCTCCTTCCTTCTCCTTCTTTACCTCCTCTCCTCTTCTCTATTCCCCTTCCTCATCTCTCTTCCTCCTCCTCCTTCTCATCCTTCCTTTGGAAAGCTTTCCCTGCTATTTGTTGCATAGTGAATTGCTGTGGAGTCAGTGGTGGGATTTCAGATAGGAAGATACTTATACATAAGCATGGATTCTTTGTTTAAAAAATTATTAGTACATCAACTGCACAAAGGTATTTTGTAGTGATATTTCTCTTTGTACAGATGGTGGTTTACTATGATGTACTTTACCACCCCTCTCTCCCTCTTCTTTCACCTTCCTATCTGTTGCCTCCATGAGACCTCCCTATTAACATTTATGACACTTTTGGGCTGGTTTTTGTTTTCTTTTGTTTTAGTTCTAGGTGACTGTTTGGATAGAGGTCTGCTCAGGCAAGCACCTCCATCCTCAGCTTATTAATGAGTAGTTGCACCATGGTGACAGTTGCCTGGTACATGGTCCTTCCCTTAGTCACCATGCATCCTCAGAACCGTGGACAAGGTATACATTGTACACGAAAAATTATTGTTAGCAGGAATACAGACTTGCCTTTAAGTAGGGGACTTCTCTCTAGAAATGTGTATTGTTCTCAGGAAATTGGAGAAAAAGAAGTGAGGGAATGGAAGAAAAGAGTGCCACACGCTCGATCCTAAGAGGAAATAAGAATTATAGACAATGGCAACAGGGCGTGGTGGCTTACTCCTGTCATTCCAGCCACTCAAGAAGTGGAGATCAGGAGGACCCCATGTCAATAAAGAAGCCAGCCACGGCTGGTGTGCACAGCATGAGGTCTGTCCCCAGGGAAGGCAGGGCAGACTCCTCCTTCCTCCTGGCTGAGTCTCCTCATTGATTAATGCACCTGTTATTCCAGCACTGTGGGAGACCTCATAGTTAGGAGGCCATCCAGGTAAAAGCACAAGACCCTATATGGAAAAATAGGTAAGGCACAAAAAGGGCTGGAGACAAGGCTCAAATGTAAAACCATGAGTACAAACCCCACTACTACAGAAAAACAAATAAAGGATTTTAGCAGAATGAAAATGTAAGCAATGGGGTAGGCCAAGGTTAAAACCTGAAGTACCAATGGCAGCCTCCTGCTGTCAGAATCAATCGCAGGTAAGATAGGATGCTCCACCGAACAGAATATGTGTAGCTCCGTGGGCTTTCATTTAGCCCAGGCAGCTTTTTGAGTTGTGGTGTAAAGAATCAAACTCATCAAGTTTTCTTGATTTTATTTATTTTTGTCAAGGTGATATACAGAAGGGTTATAGTTACATAGGTCAGTCAATGAGCACATTTCTTTTTGAACAATGTCACCTCTTCCCTCGTTTTCTCACAGTTTTTCCCATTCTCACCCCCTTTCTCCACAAGTTCTATATCTCATTTTCAGTGTAGCGTCTAGCATCACTGTGAATTAGCTGACCCTTTGTCCTACCATTTCTGGGTTCCCCTAAGCCCTCCTTAAATCAGATAAACTTACATACAAGACAAAAGGTGCAGAAATGAAAGGCAGCAACAGAAGGGGACACACAGAAAAAGAAGAAAAAACAGGAAAAGTAAATTAAAAACCTCTTGTTTTAATTTCTTGGCGTTCATTTCAATAAGCATTATTTTATATGGTCATAGGCACATAGCTATTGCAAGCTCATTAATGTTCTTAGTGACTTAATATCTGACTGATGAGGCTTAATCAATAAGTTGAGGAAATTGACAATATTGACAGTCCTAGAGAGAAACATGTCCACCTACTTTTGCACTTAGTATCAGCAAATCTTTAGTTTCTATGCAAAGATTAGGATGAATTATTGTCTTACTATTTAGTAATGTCTGTTTTACCTCAAAGCATTAAACGAAATTATAATCACTTTTCTTTCTCCCTGTTTCTAACAAGTGCAAGTCCACATACCAGAGAAGACAGATTTAAAAAGATTCCATTCTTTGAAGAAGAAATATTACATCAACTTCCTAGTAAAATATTTTCTTTATTCTTTATATCCAGCACTCGGGTCAGTCTGGAAGTGATTGGCATGGTGAGGTATTCGCATTTTAGAATCCATTTTCACCATCCTGGCCATCAGTTATGATGAAAATAGCCTCTAGTACCTCAAAACAGCACAAACATGTCATGGGAAGAATAATTGCTACATGTCTACACGAAACAGCCAGGCACCGTGGACTGGAAGTCTGAAAGTGGTGTTGTGCAAAAGGACTTTAGGGAAAGGCCTTGGGACTCCATTGTAGGTAAAGCCATATACATCGCTGCTATTCTACTTCTGTACCTGGCTGTCGTTCACAGACAAGCACATTATAGGAAGTTCCTTCACAGATTTCCATGTCTGCCTTTGAACACACCAGAAAGACAAAAGAAATAGCGTGGCCTAATGAAAGAGTGACTCTTACACCATCTTCAGTAAACCATCTTTATTGATTCAGAAGGACACAGAACCCCATTCATTGCTTTACGTGTAGCAAGAAAGCAAGGTTGCAGGCAGCTTCCTGTTCCCACACAGACATTCTCTGATCGTGTACGTAGGACTTCCCTCTTTCCATTTCTTCGCCTATAAAGTGGGGCTTGTAACTCTCCTTGGGGATTGTTGGCGAATTATATGAGGGAATGATTTTGAAAGGCCATTTGTAAATTGACTGGAGCTGTTACAAACATTTCTGTAATCCTTGCCATGTTAATGGAAATCTTGTTGGGGTGATTTCTGAGGTGTGCTTTTGTTACTTGAGTCATACCATACTAATGTTACCTGGGTAACATTCCTATGTTACTTCACTCACGTTCCACGTTGCTTGACGTGATCAGATTGGACTGAGATCCTCCAGCAGAGGTAGAAGTATGCCTTGACATTGTCAAAGTAGGAATTTCGAGGTTTTTAATATATCATGTCCCTTTGTCTTGAAAGAATGTTTTAATCTAGCAAATACCTAGAAAAATTCTTGGCAAGAATGCTTTCTAGATTTACCCCTCCCCTCCCATCCCTCCCCTCTCATGTCCTCTCCTCTCTTCTCCTCTCCTCTCCTCTCTTCTCTTCCTTTCATTTTTTCTCACTCTCCTTTTTTCTTTGTCCCTTCCTTTTCCCCTCCCCTCCCCTTCCTTTTCTCTCTCCCTTCCTTCTTCCTCTCTTCACCCCTTAGTTCCTTTTTCCTCCCTCTCTCCTTTCCTTTACACTCTCTCCCTTTCTCACTTCCTCTCCATCTCTTGCTTTTCCCTTCCTTTTCCCCTCTATCCCTCCCTTCTTCCATTTTCCTCCCTTCCTCTCTCTCTTCTTTTCCTCTTCTCCCTTCTACCCTGTTTCTCCCTGTCAGTCATCCTCACTCCCCTTTCTTTTACTCTTTTCTCTTCCTTTATTTGGTCTTTCTTAAACCAGGCTGTTATTGCTAACATTGCATATGGATTAGAGTACATTTTTTTTAATCCAATAACCCACAGGATCCTTAGGGCCATGCTGTGGTTACAAAACATGGTTTCTTATAACTGATTTGCATTGGATGAGATGATCTTCAGCTTCTTCTTCTTCTCTATCTTTTCAGGAAACTTGGATTTAACTGGTCAGAAACAAGTCTTCAAAGCAGAGAACAACCCCTGGGTAACCCCAATTGCTGACCAGTTCCAGCTTGGTGTCTCCCATGTCTTCGAATATATTCGCTCTGAAACATACAAGTAGTAAGTAATATATGACTTTTTCCCCAAAAACAGCAAACTGATTTTTATGGTATTTGTAAAAAAATATTTTGAAAAAAATTATGCAACATTGTTCCTTTGGTGGCAGTTAAGACACTTTACTTAAAAAAATGTTTTATTAGAAACTACATGTGGTAATTCTTTGGTTTTTCTTGTAGAGTGTCTTTACTTGACATTTTTCAAGGGCATTTTAACTGATTTTCTTTAGAGAATTTTTAAGGTATTAAGTTAGTTGAATATTCATGACACTTAAGGAAATTCACCAGACACATTAAGAGCTGAACATATTTTATTCTTCTGTGAATGCGAAGAATTGCAAGTGTTATGAACAAAATTGTGAAGCTGTTTATTTATAAAATCAGTAGAGAATACTAGGAATGTGTCATCCTGATTTAGAAGGTGTCTTTCCACTGGGATGATTACTTTGGAAGATAAAGAAGAAAAGGCAGGAAAAAAAAGAAGGAGTCAAATAGCTTAACATCATAGCATCAAATGCTTTCTGATCCTCATTTGAGGTGAAGGAACTTCTGGGAAACTCCCCCAGCATCTAAGTGATCCTGCCTCTTCTGCCTCTTTCTTCCTGCACACTTTAGGGTTAGCAGGAGTTTCTCCTCCCATCCATTTCTGCTGTTCTATTTTCTGTCATTATTTCTCTACTTTCCAGCTTCTCATTCCCAATATCTCATTCCCATTTATCTCAATGCTTCACTGATCCCTCAGCCTGAAGTCTAGTCTAGTTTTAAACATCTACAGAAAGACTTGAAAAGAAAAAACCAATTCCATAGTCAGATGTTAATCTCTTTCCGTGTTCAATACCACTGTTTAAGGATTTCACATCCTGACCAGAATTGAGAAGAGCTAGAGGATGGCTAAAGGTCACATTCTGTTAGGAGTCTCTTGCTTTCTTTTCTTTGTGTTTGAATCAGAAAGATGTCCATCACTCGTAGCACAGTTCTCATTGAATCTGTGCTGGGCCAGCAAGGCAGAATTAAGTGACCCACAGAACCTCTACCTGTAACTGGCCAGCTGTGGTTCTGTTACTGTCCAGAGGAACCTAATGTAGGACAGTGACCGTGAAATTGGCCTAGATGCAGGTTTAGCTCAGTGATAGAGAGCTTGCCCAGGGTGGTCCAAGCCCCGGCAATCCTCAGCACCACACACAACAACTAAATATCAATGGCAGGTCCTTATAGATTAGAACAACTTGAAGCATGGTTTTGACTTACTTCAGCCAACACTGCAATATATACAAGTCTTAAAAAAGAATAAATATGGAAGAGGGGTATTGTTTCACAGCCCATATAGCAATAAGTGATTATTACCAATTTAACCTTTTGTTTAAAATGCAAATATAGCTCAGCTTTAGAAATGAGTGTAGTGCATGAAAATGTGTGAAAATATAATTGCTAGCTAACAGATTATTGTTCATTTTGTTTCTCTTGATAATTATTGCCATCTTGAGATAGATCTGTAATGGTTTTGCTACTAAAGGCAAAACTCCATGGTGCTCAGTTTGTTGGGTGTCTTTTAAAAGCCCTTCTGCATATGGTAGTATACAGAAAAATACATAATCAGGCTCTGATTGATCTTGAATTCAAGGAACTACTCTTGGTTATTCTACTTAACAGGTTTTTTAAAATGTATTGCAGATTAATTTATAATTTATAGAGAATTAGAATACATTGCATATGAAAGTGTTATTAACTTCAATTTTATCTAGAAAGATTAATCTGTGTGCTTATAGATTTTGTAGGACCTTAGAGTCATTATTAAGCAATTAATTACTATTTTTCATTTTTTGAATGATTTCTATTTAAATATGATTGGGATTCTGGGTAAAGGAGAATTTGTTGCTTTGGTTGAAATAGTTATTTGAAAGGTAGTAAGGGAGACATTTTAAACATTAATTCTGTGATGTATCTCGTGTGTGTGTATGTGTGTGTGTGTGTGTGTGTGTGTGTGTGTGTGTGTGTGTTGCTGTGGATTGAACCCATGACCTCGGGCTTTTTGAATTTGATCCTGGGCTGGTCTTCCCACTTCTCTGCTCAGTTGCTCGTGTGGGGTACACCACACAAGGCTTGATATATGTATTCTTTTTTACTGTAATTTTTTATGATGAAAATGTTGTACAGAGGGGCTACAGTTACATTTCATAGTGAACATTGTTACCGCTTCCTTTATTTTCCCTCTACCATCACTTTCCTCCCTGCCTCCCCAATTCATCCCAGCCCTCTCCCCCCTGACATTGTAACGTTCATTTTCAATATAGTGTCCTGTACATCTCATCATCACAATGGGTCAGCCTGCACCCCCATTTAAGCGTTCTGCAATATCCCTTTCCCTCCCCAAATTACAAAAATGTATATACAAGATGCAGAACACAGGCACCAAATCCAGTGAAAACAGGTGTTATACCCTGGGGGAAGAACCTACAAGAGAAACAAAATACATTAAAAACTAGCAAGAAAGAAGGAAAGAAAGAAGGGAAGAAAGAAAGAAAGAAAGAAAGAAAGAAAGAAAGAAAGAAAGAAAGAAAGAAAGAAAGAAAGAAAGGAAGGAAGGAAGGAAGGAAGAAAGGAAGAAGAAATGAAGGAAGGAAGAAAGAAGAAAGAAAGAAAGAAAGAAAGAAACCTCTGTGTCCCTCTCTTGGGGAATATTTTGCTTAACATTATCTCATGTGGTTGTGTGTACATGGCCTTTGACCTTCTCTGCTTGTCCTAGACATGTACTAATCGCTGCAAACAAGGGAAACCTTGGGACCTATGTTTCTTTGAGGTATAGAATTCCATTTTGTGTGTGTGTGTGTGTGTGTGTGTGTGTGTGTGTGTGTGTGTGTGTGTGTGTGTGTGTGTATCACATATATCATATATATATACATATATACATATATCACATTTTCTTGATCCATTCATCCACTGAGGGGCATCTGGGTTGGTTTCATATCTTAGCTATGGTAAATAATGCTGCAATAAACATGGTTGTGCTGGTGCTTTGGTATGACCTTGTGTGTGATCATTTTGGGTAAATGCCCAAAAGTGGGATTTCTGGGTCATAGGGGAGCTCTACTGGAGTTTTTTTTTTTATGGATTTTTAAAATTTTTTTATTTTTATTGTGAAAATACTGTACAGAGGGGTTACAATTACACGGGCAAGATAATGAGTACATTTCCTCCTCCTTTGTTTCCCCTTCCCATCCCTTCCCATCCTCCTCCCACCCCACATTCCATCCTCCCCCCACCCAAAAAAAAGTTGTAAAGTTCGTTTTCGACATAACGACTTGTACATGTCATTGTTGCAATGGGTCCACCTGTATCCCTATTTAAACGATTTGTTTTTCCCCTTCCCCTCCACAAATTATACCGACATCAAATATAGTGAAAGCAGGGGTGATACTGTGGGGGAGGGACATACAAAGCAACAAAGAAATGATCTTATAAATAAATGTGTTAGAAACAATCGCATGAAAGAAAAAAAACGTTTAAAATACATATCTTAGGGTTCATTTCCCTAACATCACCTTATCTGACCTTTTCTGCTTGACTCAGACATATACTAGATATTGCAAATAAGGGAAACCATGTGACCTATGTTTCTTTGGGTCTGGCTTACTTCACTTAATATAATTTTTTCCAAGCCTTTACATTTCTTAACAAATGGGTCAATGTCATTCTTTCTGATGGAGGCATAGAATTCCATTGTGTATATATACCACATTTTCTTGATCCATACATCTATTGAGGGGCATCTGGGTTGGTTCCATATCTTAGCTATGGTAAATAATGCTGCAATAAACATAGTTGTGCTGGTAGCTTTAGTATGGTCTTGTTTGTGATCATTTGGGTAAATGCCCAAAAGTGGGATTGCTGGGTCATAGGGGAGCTCTATGTGGAGTCTTTTGAGGAACCTCCATACTGCTTTCCAGAGTGGTTGAACAAGTTTACACTCCCACCAACAATGCAGTAGGGTTCCCTTTTGGCCACATCCCCTCTAGCATCTGTTGTTACTAGATTTCTTGACTATAGCCATTCTAACTGGGGTGATGTGGAATCTCAGCGTTGTCTTGATTTGCATTTCTTTTATGGCTAGAGAGGTCGAGCATTTCTTCATGGGTGGTATATGTATTCTTATCTCCATCATTAACATCCTATCTGAAAACTAACTCTATCTGAAAAATAACTAAAGCAAAAGGGCTGGTTCAAGGGAAGGACCTGAGATCAAACCCCATTGCTTCCCAAAAAGACAAATTGAAGATCCTTATAAAAAGCAGCCTACTCCTGAGGAAAACCTTCATTCTTTTGGATGCACTATGGAGCACTGTTACCTGCTATACAGTTACATTGACATTGAAAATCCTTTAAAAGCTATGCCATCATTGAATCCTCTTTCAAGAGGCTTTACCCCATTGGATGCTTCTAGCATGGAGGTTCCTACTACTTGACATGAGCTTTTGGAGGATGAGGTCCGACCCTCTAGGACTTCCCCTACTTTCCCCCTTGGGAAGGAGTAGAATGTTGACATTCCCTCAATTTTCATTTTCTCTCCTCATTCTCTCATAATAGCTACCTTTGTTCTTCATCGTTCTCACTAGCTAAAAAACAAGAACAGTTAGCTAAACAACACATTAATTCCAGCCATGTCAGAGGCAGGACTATAATATGAGGCAGGCCTGGGCCTAAAACTCTAGATTCTATCTGACAAATAACTAAAGCAAAAAGGACTGGTTCAGGAGGAGGGCCTGAGATCAAAACCCCACTGCTGCCCAAAAAGACAAACTTAAGGTCCTTATAAAAGTTCTTCTGAGCTGGGTGCCAGTGGTTCATGCCTTTGATCTTAGCTACTCAGGAAGCTGAGTTCTGAGGATTGCAGTTCATGTCAAAGACAACCTGGGCCGGAAAGTCTTTGAGATTCTTATCTCCAATTAGCCACCAAAAAGCCAGAAGTAGAGCTGTGACTACAGTGGTAGAGCATTAATCTTGAGCACA